TGGGCAATCTACTTCTGTAGTGATACAGCCTTGGAAACCCAAGGAGAGGTCATTATGAGTCGGGTCTGACTCGACAGCACATAACAACAACAACATATGTTCATTATTTTAATTATGTTTTTCACAGATATTTTCACTTACTTTATGAGTTTTTGATCCTTGTTCCCCTTCTCTGTATTTCCCATGCCATGTTTAAATTCTTGGTTGTCGTTTCAAATTTTCTGCTTGCAATGGTATTCACTTTTTCTTTTGAAGCACTTTTCAGATACCCAACTACTCTGGCTTGTGAGTTCAAATTTTCTGTTGGTATGAGCTACTAGTCTGATAACAAATATAATAATAAATATAAATATAATAAGGGTCAAAGAACAGACTCTTAAGTGTTCAAGGAGGGAATCCCACCAAACCAACCAGTGGCTGTGGAGTCAATTCCAACTCATGGTGATTCAATGTGTGCAGAGTCAAACTGCTCTGTAAGATTTTCAAAGCTGTGACCTCTCAGGAGTTGACTGCCAGGCCTTCTTCTGAGGTACCCCTGGGTGGATCTGACCAATCAACTTTTTGGGTAGTAGCCCAGTGCTTAACTGTTTGTGCTACCCAGGGACTCAACCAAACCATACCTTGTATCAGAGTCTTTCCTTTAAGCCCATGCAGCTCTTACAAGAATGCATTGTATAATACATATCATAAACAAGTTCAACTCAATATGCAGTCGTTATACAGTCACATATGCTAGTTATGCAGTCAGTTATGTCTTGATGCCAGGAGTAAACTGGAAAATTTAGTTTAAAACACCTACCACTCACTGTCCCTATACTATAGTCCAAAACCAAACCAAACCAAGCCCACTGCTATTGAGTCCAACTCACAGTGACCCTATAGCACTGAATACAACTGTCCCATAGGCTTACCAAGGCTATAAATCTTTATGGAAGCAAACTGCCACATCTTTCCTCTACAGAGTGACTGGTGGGTTTGAACCACTGACCTTTTTGGTTAGCAGCCGAGCACTTTAACCTCTGAGCCACCAGAGCTCCTAGATTACAATCCACTAACTCTGAAAGGGAAACAGAGAGAGTGAAATGCCTAATGTAGTCATTCCACACCTACTTTCACCAACTTTTCACTTTTACTTACCAGGGTTTTGTCACTGTCTTGTTATTACCCCATGGTCACTTCACCAGCTGTCTGGGCTGTGGTCTCCATTTCTACAGCACAAGAGTGGGTGGGGGTGGGTGTCAACTGTGACTGACCCAAGGCTGTGGTTGGTCATTTTTCTGAAAGGGGCCAGAGAGTAAAAAATTTTGGCTTTGTGGGCCAATAGGTCTATCGCACTACTCAACTCTGCCTTGGTAGTGAGAAAGTATGGCTGTTTTCCTACAAAATTTGATTTTAAAAACAGGTAGCAGGTTGAATTTGGCTGAAGGGCTAGTCTGCCAACCCCCGTCCTAAGGCAAAGGTAAGATGGGAGTGAGGAGGCAAAAGCAGAACTAAAATTACTTTTCTTAATATATCCCATTATTGCCTCCACCAGCAGCAGCCTTCTCTCTCAAGTCGCAGCCGCCCTTCCCCTTCCCCCAATAGCTGAAAACTATCTTCCGACTCCCCAGGGGTTTCTCACTTTTATTGTTTTTCTAGTTTCCATTTTCCCTTTATAGTTCCTCTAGGGAGGAAGGAAGAAGAACATGCTAATTCACCATCTTGGGAGAAATGGGAAAGCAAGTCAACAAATGTTTTCTTTCATGTGTTTTATTTATATATTTTTGGCAGCAAAATTGTGTCTATTAAAAAAAAGTCTGGATTATGAACACACTTTACTGCTTCAGTTGAAGAACCCCAAGCCAAAGACCAACACTAAAAGCTACTTTCCTAAAGATACACAAAAAGAATCAAATGCTACAGTGTAGGAAGACAATTACCGCCACCCTTGTTAGAAACCACAACTTTTCAAATAAAGAATATGACCCATCTGCCATATTGAATTGATATTTATTTCAGGACATGCCATGTCAAAATAAAACAAAAAGTCAACCCTTGCCTTTAACAATAATATTGCATTATAAAAGCACTTTATAACTCCATCCTGTCTTTTAGCATAAGTCACTGGTATGTGGGCTAATGATTACCTGAAAGCATTTCTCTATTCAGATCAATAATCCAAGTGCTCTTCGAATATTACAAGGTGACAATAAGTGGGAAGTGGACAAGGAAGAAGAAAGAGGGGAATAAGGTTCCCAGTTAAAGGGTTTTGCTGCAATGAGGGGATGAGGAAGTATGAAGATATTTTTGTTGTATTTCCACCTTTATACTGTGTTAAGTAATGCTTACAACATAAATTTAGCAGGGTTTTCCTGAGCTGTAACTCAGATATTTTCTTCCTGCAAATAATGTATTTACAAATATGTTTGTTAACTTACACAGCAACCTCACAATAACTAGTAAAGTTTAAAAGGGTGCACTCCTAGTATATGTGTTTGCAGTGTTTTAGGGAAAATACATATTGCCATGGTGATCAAGCTCTAAATATTCAACAAAAAGTCCAAAATTGGAAAGTTGGTTAAAAAAAAAAAAAAAAGCAAAGAAATAAATATCACCAAAGAAAAAAGATTAATTGTAGCTTAAATATAAAACTAAATCACCAGTTAATTAATCAAACTATACAGATCTAATAAAAAGCCTCAGCAACCCAACATTAAAAAAAAAAATGCTAAAAAATAAGGCATAAATCTGCATAATATTGAATTTTATTTCTATTCTCTCCTTCCTCTCTTCTATGAATGCTTTTTCAGATCTGCCTACAGGGGCTTATAAAACAACTACTTCCTTCTTCAATCTGACTGCAAATGTCCTGAGTAAAGTATCTGCTATTCTGCTGACAGTTCTTTTGTTGGTAAGCTTTAGTTATCATTGTTTCTATTGGTTATAGCAGTTTTGATCGTGGTGCCAAATTAAAAATTCTTCCACTGGTTCTTCTTAAAGGAGTTTGACTTCAAAGTGCCTAACCTGCACAGCATTTTTAAAAAAGAAAGAAAACCTAAGAGAAATCTATTGCTTTGAAAGATTTTTCTAACAAATAGAATTAACTGTATCTTGACAATTCTAAAATCTTGGGAGGAACAACAGTTCATTAGATTTTTACAATAAAGAATCAAATATTAAAAACCTATACTGAAGCATTTGTTCACATCTCTCTCCCAGAGTCTAATAAAGCACAGGTGAGAGGGTCATTTGTTTGGTCAGAAATAGATTTTGTGTTCTTCTACTTGTTAGTACTCAGTATCTTCATTAGGACTCATTTTGAAGATGCTTTAGAACGCTTTTCTTATTCAAGCACTGCCCACCATGATAACTGAATTTTGCCTTCAAAGAAAGTCTAAGTAATTTGTCAGTGCTCAAGAATTATTTTGGCCTAAAGGATAATTCCATTGGGCATGGTCTTACTGCTGCTTTGCCACCTCCTCTTTGTTTTGAGGAAGGGAGGGTGAGAATAGGGAATGGAAGGTGAGAAAAGCAGGGAGAGATCTAGTAGGTAGGCAAGTGCTGTTGTGAACATATTGCTCCTTAACCAAGCCACACTCAGACTGTTGAAATTTCCATCATTTTGAAGTAACATTAAAAAACAAAAAAAATGTTAAGAAAATGTATCTAATTTTTAAAGTTATCACTGGAATATGCTGAAATCTTTTGGCTTTTTGTAAAATACAAATAATGAAGACACTGACTTTTTTTGTGCTTGTGAAGCTAATAGATCATCTCCACGAGACAGGCAGCAATGATGAATTGCAATACGTTATTACTGAAGGGAAAAAGGTTCAAGCCAATATTCACACTGCAGTCAATGAAAGAGTAAGGGGGACAAAGCAGTGAGCTTCTGGAGAAGGGCTGAAATGTCATGGGGGATTAGCAGGAACAGCCTCCCTCACTGACTGGTTGCTCCTGAGGCTTTTCCAGTTTTATGTCAATCACTGAAATAAAAGTTAAGGACTCATAAACGCGAAAGTACAATTCTGTTGAACATGGACTTCCATTCCTATTTGATAGTCACTATTTTCTACATAGCTACCTCACCATATTGTTGTTGTTGTTATGTGCCGTCACGTTGGCCCCGACTCATAGCGACCCCTCCTTGGGTTTCCGAGGCGATATCACTATGGAAATAGATTGCCCAACCTTCCTTCTGAGGAGTGGCTGGTGGGTTTGAACCAGCAGCCTTCTGGTTAGCAGTCAAGTGCCTTAGGAACTATGCTACCAGAGCTCCTCCTCACCATATTAGGATATGGAATAAACTTGCTTATACTTGCTATATGCAGCAAGGGTCAGAATGAGGTTCAAGCCCCACTCATCAGAATCTATCCTAAGGAAATTACTCACTAGGCACAAGAAACCACATGGAGATAACATTCTTGTAGAGCTATCTGTAACAAAAATCTGAAAACAGCCTAGGAGAGAGTTCCAACAACAAAGGGAAAATCTAATAAATGAGACACTGACTCAACAGAACATTGTATCCCATTAAAAGTAATAAAAGTTGTGAAGTTGAATACAAAGTGCTATGAACTCTGTGGCTTAACAAAAATGTCTGCACATGGAAAAACAACAGAAGATAAATATACAAACAATAAAATATCAAAATTCAAAATGCTTTGAACCAACTAAAATTAGATCTGCTTCATTTAAGTATGTTGTTTCTGAAACCAGAGGTCATGATAAAACTCCAGACTGAAGTTATTTTCCTGCCTAAGCTAAGTAAAAAGCTCAAATATTAGAAAAAGGAGAGGGGGGGAAAAAGATGTACTATCAGAGAAAAGCCCAGATCCAATGCGACTCAAAACAAAGAAAGAGACTAGGATTTTAAGAGTTTCCTACTCATTAAAAAAACAAGCAAGCAAACAAAAAAACCTTCTTACTGATTAACTGTAGTAATCCAAACCACAACCAAAACTCACTGGTGTGGAGTCGGATCTGACTCATAGTGACCCTTCCTTGGGTTTCTGAGGCAGTATCACTATGGAAATAAAGTACCCAACTTTCCTTCCGAGAAGTGGCCAGCAGTCTGCAAAAGGTGTGGTTATATAACCATATGCTTTATAGCAAACTTCTGAGCTTCCATGCCCCTGTGCCATCAATTCCTGGCTGTAAAAGGCAACAGCACAGTATTCCTTAGCCAGCAACATGGGGCTCGAAAGACAAGAATTAACAATAAAATATTCTGGTGAAACAAAAAGGATACTGTCTTCTCTGCTTCTGTCCTGTGTGCTTTCCATTCCAGGCAATGCTGCTGCAACACGTCGAAAGAGCTATGGCAAAGAGAGAAATATGTTAATTGAGAAAGAAAATTTAGCAATAACTGGTGTCATGTAAAGGTGGATGAATTAAAGGATCTGAATTAAAAGTGCATAAGTTAAAGAATACAGCTCTCCTGGGTTATTCCTCACTTAGATGTCAGCATAGTAAGCATATTGAAATGTCTATTTATTCTATAAGGCAACACAATATAAAAAGCAGTATGCTACATACAACTCTTCGTATCAAGATAGGATCCTTGCTCTCCAACTAGTTAAGATAAGACGTTAACGAACAGCTATGAATAAGCAGCAAAAGCGTTACCTGAATCATAAAATATTATAGGAACTCAGAGCAAGGGCAGATCATTCATTTAGTAAAACTGTATAGACACATTGCTATCTTTCACAAGTAGTTAGGTTCTAAAGTCAATATATATAATAAAAGTCAATCTAGTCAAAATTACCCTTGATAATTCCATAGGAAAGCACTATCTTAGAGATTAACACACTACCTTTCAAACCCAACAGAACTGGCTTTTCCTCTATTACTAGAATGACACCAGTGGAAATGGTTGGCTTGTGTTGATATATAATGTCAGAAAAAAAATCTCCAACAGGGGAATCACCACAAGTCTGGTAAGATGTTCATTATGAGAGGCATGTGGGAATGGAAATCAACAGAAGAAGAAAGCGATTTCTACTTCCTATCTTGTGTTTGACCTTAGGTACAAGAATGGCAGGTGAAACTAATTTTTTCAATCATTTCTCTTTTTGTTAGGAATACAGTGTAGAATCAACCAACCACCTTCTGGTTAGCAGCCCAATGCTTTGACCACAGCACCACCAAAGCTCCCCTCTCATACCAACTACCTGCTTAATTAAGGAACTGTCCAAAGCTCTCTAGGGACAGAGCAATAAATAAGATGTAGTTTTTTAATTCAAGGAGCGTACAATCAGGCAAGAGAGACAGGCTCAACTTCCTATGTTACAGTGTGATGAAAGCTATAAATCAAAGAAGTACAAAATGATAAGAGAATACAGATGCAAGAAAATCCTCTCAGCAGGCTGGAGTCCTTAAGAGGTGTTATTTGAGATTTAAAAGCAGTTTTAAAATTTCATGTGGCTGAAAAACACATGGCTGTGCAAAGTGCTCCATAAATGTTGCTAAATTAAATTAAGAAGTAACAGAATGAACTGGAGACCAGAGGTGAGAGACTGGGACGGCAGTGACAATTAGGAGAGACCAAACATTAACACTGGTAGATCTATTAGTTAGTGAAAATTACACACAAGGAAACTGACAAGCCTCCATCAACTACAAAATTAAATACATTACAGAGACACAGAAGTTTATTTTGTTTTTCTCATTTTTACCTTTGAAAGTCTCCAACCCCAATGATTGAGTCAAATGGTTTGGAATGGGGATGAGACATTATACTGTTTTATTTAAAAATATATCAATTCACAACAGCCAAAAGGTGGAACCAACTTAAATGCCAATCAACAGGAAAACAGATTAAACAAAATATGGTCCATATACATAGCCTGTAAAAGAAATGAAGTCTTGATACATGCTACAATATGGATGGAGCTGGAAGACATTATGATGAGTGAAATAAGTCAGTATTGTATAACCTCATTTACATAAAAAGACAAGAAAAGGCAATGCATAGACAACAAAGTTTATCAGTGGGTGCCGGGGCAAGAGGGAGGGGGGGACATCCAGGTTAAAAATGGGTTAACAGTGATAGAAAAATCACACTGATTAAAGGTGGGGTTGCAGAGTCAATTATTTTAATTGCTGTATCAATAAGTATTACACCTTTAAAAAGTTGAATTGGCAAAAGTATGATAAACCAAACCAAACCAAATGCACTCTCATCAAGTTGATTCCAACTCATAGTGACCCTACAGGACAAAGTAGAACTGCCTCGTAGGATTTCCAAGGCTGTAAATCTTTACGGAAGCAGACGGCCTCATCTTGGTCCTGCAGAGCAGCCCACCTTTCAGTTAGCAGCTGAATGCTTTAACCACTACACCACCAGAGTGCCAAGTTATGTGACAGAGATAACGACAAAAAAAAAAAGTACTGCTGAGGCTGCTTCTGTACAACTGTACAACCAAAACCCTCATGGGTTTAGAGCTTTAGGGTCATGGTTTCATGAGAAAGCCCAGTTAATTGGCCTCATAACATGTTTAGTGCTTCTGTTCTACCTCTTTGTTTACTGAATAGTGCCTGAGATCTTTCTTAAAAGCTAGCAAGTGGCTACTTAAGGCACAACAATTGCTCTCTATTCACCTGGAGCAAAAGAGGAAAAAGGAGTTAGGAAAGGCAGAGGAATATGGAATGTATGGCTCATTGTCTCCACGGACAATTGCTCCTTTGCCATGTGACCAGAAGAACTGGATGATGCCCAACTACCATTACTGAATATTTAGATCAAAGATTCCATAGAAGAATACTGTCAAAAGGGGGAAAATACGGAACAGATTTTCAAGTTCTCACAGACTCCAGACTTCCTGGAGCCACGAAAGTTGGATGAAACCCTGAAACTATTTTTAAAACAAAAGTATTTTCTGAAGTCTTAACACCAAACAACAGTTTAGTTTAACTAGTAAAAAATGTCTGCCTTGAGCATTATGTTCTTTTAGGAACTATCTATATGGGATCAAATTGATAACAGCAACTTGGAAGATTAGATAGGAATCTTAGGCAGTATATTTATGTTAGTGGGGAAGAATAACTCAGAAAAGGAGGGTGAGAATGGTTGTACAACCTGAAGAATGTAATCAATGGCACTAAATGGTACAGGTAGAAACTGTTGCACTGGTACATGTTTTGCTATATGTATTCTCAACAACAACAATAAAATAAAATATTTTTAAATCATTAAATAAAAATATCTGAGTAATTAATTTTATGGTATGTAAATTGTAGTTCAATAAAGCTATTAAAAAAATTATGGGCTTGAGACCTCTGGAAAGATGGCAGAACAGGCAGGCAAGCTACACATACCCTCTTCAACAAAGAAAAGAGAAACCAGTTGACACAGATACAGAAGATAATCCTGGAGCCCTGAGCTTTGACAGGAAGGATAAAGAAGTGGATTAAATACCAACTAGCAGAAGAACCTGAATGAAAAAATTATGGGCTTATAAAATAGTAGGAGCCATTGTGGCATAGTGGTTTAAACACTCTGGCTGCTAACCTAAAGGTTGGTAGTTTTAACCCACCAGCCACTCTGCAGGAATCAGATGCTTCTGCAGAGATTTACAGTCTTGGTAACCTGACAGGAAAGTTGTATCCCGTCCTACAGGATCGTTGAGTCTGAATTGACTTAACATCAGTGGGTTATATAAAATAGTAAATTAATGATATACCCTATCTCTCAATATGCTAGGAGTTATCCATTACCATTAGTATTGCCCACTATCTGCTATTTAATGATTACAGAGTTTCCAAACCTATGAGACAACTCAGGATAAGGACTGCCAGGACACAAAAATGCTTTCTTAACCCAGACAGAAAGATATCCTATAGCAGACCATTTTGACATAATAAGCAACTAGCTCACAACTGTATCAAAATGTTTCTAACAGAGAAGCTAAGAGATGAAGCTACCTACTGCTTTGTTCTAGCACAGTGGCACGTGGTAACACAGTGATAACTTCTACTAGGTAAAGAATTTTGGCTACTACACATTGCTAGGTTTTAGGAGATAATTTCAACACAGTGTGGTAAATTCTGACAATGGCTGCATAGGGGTGTATGAAAACAAAGAGGAGAGTCACTTATCATAGCCTGGAGGTAGGGTGGGGAATGTAAGAGAAAGCATCTTTGAAGAGCTGCCATCTAAGCTGAAACTTAAAAGGAGTAGGAATTAGTTAGGAAAGAAGGAAAAAAAAAGTACTCTAAGTAAAGGGAAAAACAGCATAAGTGAAAATATAGAACCATTAAACAATACGTTATCAGGTGGGCATTAATAAATAATTCAGTATTACTTACGTATGTTTCAAGGCAAGGAGGGATGGAAAATAAAGTGGCAAAAATGAAAATATAGGGAATTCTTCGTAAAGCTCTACTTATTCATTTTAAAGTGAAAACTTTAAAAAAACTCTACTTTTTTAAAGTGAAAACCCTTTGGGATCACTATAATTGAAGGAGAAAGAAAAACAAATGATAACTTATTGATTTATAAATCCTATGTCTGGGACCACTACTCTTTGTAATATATAGCTATGAAGAGTCATGGAAGTGAGATTTTGATTACACCATCTTGTAGATAACAGCTTGGTAATGTGAGATTCTTCCTGTATTTTCCTGTCCCTTCTACTCAAAAAATTCTCCTTTTATAACACTGCTGAATCATCAACAGTTTACTAAGGAACTGATAAAAGTTGTGAATGTACTTTTACAACAAAGCAAACAAAAGCATCATTCCTGACAGCAAATATCAGCTTTTTTTCATCACAGTCTTATCATCTAAGTGTGAAATAAGGAAAAATCACCCTGTAATCAATGCAAAAGGAAGGGAGTGAGGGTATGGTGAGTTCACAACCTTGCAATCATAAAATCTTTCAATCACAATGAAACAGTTATCCTGTGCTTAGTTGCAAAGTTTGGTGAGCCTTTTCTTTTTTCTCCAAAATTATGCTACATTTGTATTCCTTCACTGTTTGAAAATAGTTGCCAGTTCATGAGGCTTGCTGTTGCTGACTGAAAGAAAACCTTAGACTAGAGAATACTCATAATTATCTCAAATATGTTTTAAATTTGATAACCTCAACTCATGCTTAAAGCACACTTACCTGCTTTACATTATATCCTGCTTTCGCACTAGTTTCAATAAACATAACATTCAGCTCTTTGGCTTTCCTCTCTCCTTCCTCAATTGACACTTGCCTGTAGAAAAAGAACAATTCTATCCTTAAAATATAATAATATGAAAACGATAAACAAATTTCCGAAAATAATGTTTCTTGATATCGGTGATTACATAGGCAAATCTAACTTAAAAAATAATTAACCTGCAGCACACTTATACTGTGCACTTTTCTATATATGTCAATAAACAGTTTTTTAAAAAAGGCATTTTTTTAATCCATTTGCTTTTACTCGGCTGAGCTCATCCTTTTAACATAAATAAATAAAATAAATTTTAATAGCCTGCTTCTTTCCTGTAATATTAGTTCATAAGCCTTTAACCTTGTGATTCACAAGCTTTATATAAAATATTTTTTATGGCTGTATAATTTATCAATTGGCTACTCTAACCTATATACAAATTATTTACATAAATTATGTAACCATTCCCAAACTGTCAGAAACATACGCTATTTTCAAATTTTACACCATGAAAAATGTTGTTATAAACATCTTTGTGTCTTTTATATACCGTAGATCATTTCATTAGATTTCCTGGAAAAAGTGAATAAAAGAATACACAATTCTAAAGCCTTTTGATACATGTGGTGGTTATGTTTTTGTGTCAACTTGGCTGGGCCTGGCTGAATGGCTGGGCAGCTGGTGGTAGTTATTCCCCATGATGAGACTGGCAATCAACTCCATGGTGGGATCTACAAGCAGCTGAAGTAGCTGCTTTGGGTATGTGGTCTGCTTCCCGTACATAAGCAGCAGCTTTGGGCATGGTCTCTGGCTTATGGCACACTTGGACCCTGCTCGTAGCCGTGACCTGTGGACTTATAATGGACTTAAATTAATGGCCTGCTATCTGGTTTGGTAACATCGGGACTATGCCTTTTTACTTGCCAACCTTGGGCTTGGCAGCCTCAGCAGCCAGTGCTGTCTGAGTGAAGAAAAGCCTCTAGCTTCAGTGGACTGGGAGCAAGAGGCAGAGCTGAAGCCCAAGGCTGAGGGGCTTTCACCCAGCTCCTAAAGATTGGCACTTTGAACTTGGACTTAAAGCCTCCAAAATGAAGAGAATAAACTCGTTTGTTTAAGCCATCCCATTTGTGGTATATTCTTGTCAGCGCAGTACTAGGCAACCAGAACAATACATAACAGTAATACTTTTAGCACCTTTTTAAAAAGATATTTTGTGGTGCATTATAATTAGCATTGTGTTTCAACTTGTGAGCTCTTCAAGTACACAACTGTCTTAGTTATCTTGGTATTCCTAGTGCCTAGCATGCACATACCAAACCCAACCCAACCCACCCCACTGCCATCAAGTTGATTCCAATTCACAGCCACTAGGTTTCCAAGGAGGTTAAATCTGTACAGAAGAAGACTGCCTCATCTTTCTTTCAGAGTGGCCAGTGGGTTTGAACCATCAACCTTTCAGTTAGCAGTCAAATGCCTTAACCACTATGCCACCAGAGTGCCTTAGCATGCAGACAGGTATTCTATATATATAAATGTTCTAATTAAATTATTTTCCTGTCCCCTCTCCTCAAAAAGTTTTCTTATAAACACTGCTGAATCATCACCAATTTATTAAGGAACCGATAAAAATTGCAAATGTACTTTTACAACAAAGCAAACGAAAGCATCATTCCTGACACTAAAGATTTGCTTTCTTTCATCACAGTACTATCATCTAAGTGTGAAATAAGGAAAAATTACTTGTCGTCAACACAGAAGGAATGGAGTAAAAATATGGTGCGTACAACTTCCTAACTACATGTGTGCCCATTTATTTCACTTCTATTTCTGTTAGTATAGAGAAACTATCCTTATTTCTAAAACCTGTGTATTAGATCCCTACCCTTCTCTAGAAGGTACTGTTCTAGAAATTCTCCATTCACTGAAACCATAGACATTCTCTTATATAACACTCCAACGTGAATGTTTCACATTTGCTTCCTCTCTTCATCCTCTCTCTGTAATGTGTATATGTATATAAAGGACACAGACATTTTTTAACAGTTTAAGTTGCCAGTGTGCAGTCTTTTACCCTAAATATTTCAGCAGTATGAATTCTCTAAAAAGATTCTTTTATATAACCATAGTACAATTACTAAAATTCAGAAATTATCATAAATATCATTTTGTTTACAGTCTATAAATTTTATTCAGGTTTCACCACTCATCCCAATAAAGTTCTTCAAAGCAAATGAAGTTATTTCTTTAACGAGAAACTTCTCCACAACTACTTGGTACCCATACAAAGGGGAGAAAAAAAGAGAAATGCTGTCCATATCATTGTGACTCATAAATTTAAACATATTTTCTAGTAATTATTACTGATTCTCAAATTTTTTGTCTTTGGTTGGTGGACCTTCCTTGATTTGGCTCCTGAGTCTGACACAACCCAAACGGTTTTTAATAACTTCCTTGATTTATAGTATGACAAGATAACCCAGATACATTTTCTGCCTCAGATTTCAAAGTGGTTATTTCTTAAATATCCCCGGTTGCTTTAGAGAAAAATGGAATTTAGAGATGGCATTCTGGACTCATTCCTCCTGGTTTAGATCTTTTCAGTGAACCAAGATAAAAAAATATATACATTAAAATGTGTAATGCTTAAACATAAAATAGGGGGTGAGGGGAGAAGTATCATCAATTCATACTTCAGCTACTACAGTTTTCCTCCTAACTTCGTGGCCATTTCTCCTTTCTATTTGTTTTGCTATTTTCTCCTCATTTCATTAACCTCTAAATCAGTGGTTCTCAATGTGGGGCAATTTTGGCCTCCCTCCCCACTGGGACATCTGGTAATATTGGGAGAAAATTTTGATTATCACAATTGAGGGTAGGTGGGAAGTAGGGCACTACTGCTATCTGGTAGGTACAGGCTAGGGATGCTACTATATATACCTACAACAATGTGCAGAACAGTCCTCCTACAATAAATAAATATCTGGCCCCAAAACGCCAATCACGCCAAGGTTGGGAAACCCTGTTCTAAATGTTGGATGTCTGAAAATGTACTGCTTGGACCTCTTTATTCATAATCACCCCCTTGGTGATTCAGTGCAGTCTCAAGTCTTTAAATATCATCTCTATGCTGATGGCACCCAAACTTATATATCTAGGCTGGACCTCTCCTCTGAACTCCAGATTTATATATCCAATTGCCTATCTGACTTTTTGACTTAGATTTCTAAGTCATTCAAAACTTAACCTGACCAAAATGAGTTCAAAATATTCCCTCCCAAACCAGCTCTTTATGCATTTTCACCCATCACAGTTAATGACAATCACTCAGGCCAAAAATCTAGGTATTATTCTTGATTCCTTCTCTCCATCCACATTTTGCCCATTAGTATATTCTAACAGCTCTATCTCCAAACTGTATCTCAATATGACCACATACCACTACACAAGCTGCCAGTCCAAGTCATCATCTATGACTGGCTGAATTGCAGCCCCTTTATTAGCCACCTTACTGGTCTCCCTGCTTCTACCCTTGCCCCTATAATTTCAACAGAGCAAACAGTGATCCATGAAAAGTATGTCAAAGCAGGCTACTCCTCTGCTCAAACCCTCTAATCTCATTCAGAAATAGCTCTTAGTCTGCCCTACAAGACTTGGCTGTTATCTTTTTATTTTTTTGAACATTTTACTGTGGTTTGGGTGAAAGTTTACAGAGCAAATTAGTTTCCCACTGAACAATTTACATTTTGTTTCATGACATTAGTCACAATCCCTTCAATGTAACAGCATTTTCCCCTCTTCCTCGCTGGGTTCCCCATTTCTACTCACTGATCTTTCCTGCCATTCCTGCCTTCTCAACCTTGTCTTTGGGCAAATGCTTCCCTTTTGGTCTTGTATAAATGACTGTTCTGAGGAACCCGTTTCTCATGAATATTTTTTCACTTTATATGACTGTCTACTGACTGGCTGAAAGTTGATCTCCAGGAGTGGGCCATAGACTCGGGGGTTCCATCAGTCTCTATTAGATTGTAAGTCTGGTCTTTTTTTTAAAATAATTTTGAATTTTGTTCTACATTTTTCTCCAACTCTGCCCAGGATCTTCCATTGTGATCCCCATCAGAGTAGTCGGTAGTGGCACTTGGACACCATTTAGTTCTCCTGGTCTGAGGCTAGTGGAGGCTGTGGTTCAGGTGGCCTATTAGTCCTTTAGGAGCTCTGGTAGTGTAGTGCCTAAGGCATGTGACTGCTAACCAGAGGCTGGCGGTTCAAAGGCACCAGCCACTCCTCAGAAGGAAGATTGAGCAATCTAGTTCCACAGTGATACCGCCTCGGAAACCCAAGGAGGGGTCACTATGAGTCGGATTAAACTCGACAGCAGAGGTTTTTTTTTAGTCCTTTGGCTGTTTCCTTCAGTCTTTGATTTTCTTCTATCTTCTTTCCTCCAGATAGGGAGAGACCAACAGACGTACCTTTGATGGTCACTCATAAGCTTTTTAAGATCCTAGTCACTACTCACCAAAGTAGAAGAAGAATATTATCTTTAAGGACTTTGTTGTGACAACTGACCTAGATGTCCCTTGAGACTATGGTCCTAAGCACTCAAGCCCAATTACTCAATCTCTCAAACTGTTTGGTTATAGCTAAGAGTCTGCATAACTTTGCCCCCAAATGCTCTACTATATACCTGGATATATTTATAGTACAAACAAATATATACATAGAAATATCCTCTGCTAAACCTGTATATGCTGGTGGATGTAATCCCACATACCAACACACACCTGTTCAGTTTACGTATCTACATATGTATTCGCTGGTAGATCACTGCTTGTTATAACAATAACCAATAATAAATAAATAACAGTATTTACTATTGTTGCCTTTTAGTCTTGCATACCAGTGTTGTTTTTTACCTTGGTCATGTTGTGCTGAACACTCCCTTTATTGTGTATTGCTGTTCCCTTCATCCAAATTAATATATGTCTGCTATCTAGTGATTTCCCCTCCCTCCCTATCCCATCTCTGGTAACCATTAAAGAATGTTTCTTTCTATGCATAAA